TGGCTGCCGTTCCCCATGGGACCAGAATCGAGCCTTATATGGAGAAGCATCAAATCCCCCGGGCCTTAACTCAGCCTGAAGCTCCGATCCACCCATGCAGCCCCATCCTCCCTGGCGGGACTGGCTCCACTCTTCCCCATGGGCTGGTGGCAACCAAGACAGCTGTCCCTGCCACCTGCTCCCCAGCTGTGCCAAGTGCTAAAACTGCACTAAAGAGCTGGTGACACTCTGGCATGAAAGGCACCGCGCAAAACCCAGGGCACTGGATGTCATGCTGGGGCACTGCACGCAAAAAAACACAGTTAGTTGCTCCTAGGTGCAGCTAGACGCAGGGGCAACCACAGTGCAGGATCTCAGCACCCCAACACCTCTGAAGCCAAGACCGTTGGCCAAATAACCCTTCCCAGTGCATGGAGCTGCTTCAGGTGCTTGCTGGGGCACACAGAGACTGCCTGGGAGTCCACGCTGGGGTGGCACAGCTTGGGCACCAATGTGGTGGCAGCACCACTCTGTGGCTCACCCAGGGCTGTGCACCAGAGCTCTTCAGCACAGCGGGTCACAGCAGCATTTGAAGCTACAGCATGCGCTCCTGGGTTTGTGTGCCCATCCACACGACACTGAGTGCCTGCCCCAGCCCCATCCGTGGGACTCCCTGCCCCTGGGGTGCTGGAGAGCCCCCCAGGCCACCCCCACATGGCAGCACAGCTCCCCCACCCCACCTGCCCCAGCAGCTCTTACCTCAGCGTGCCCCCCTGGGGTCAGGGTCTTGTTGCAGCGCTCACACTTCAGGCAGAACTTGTGCCAGTCCTTGCCCAGGGAGGACACCTTCTCAGCTGCAGGGAACATGAGCGAGGGGTGAGAGACTGCCAAGCACCTGCCAAGGCCCCTGGGGAAGCCAGGCTCTGGACTCCGGGGCCCACGGCCCCGGCCCCCCCCCCCAGCCTCTGAACCCCCTCAGAGCCAGCTCTGCCATCGCACAGATGCCCTTTCCCACGCACCAGTCCAGCAATGGTAGCATCTTCCTTTCTACTGCCTGCTTCTATTTTTACCCACCACGTTACCCAGAATGACCCTGCTCCCATTCAAATATTTGGTGTTACCATGCCCACCCCACCCGTTTAGTCATGCCTCCCACACATACACACCCAGCCTCCGGGGCTCCCTGGGGAGCTGTGACTGCAGCTCCAGCCCCAAGCGGGAGCTCCCCTCCACGCACCCAGGGCCTCCAGCCAGGAGGATGGGAGGGCACATAACCTCCAGCATCACCAAGGGTGGATGCTTGACACTGGAAAGCACCTGTCTCTTGGGCGTGCGGGCGCTCCCCCCTCACCCCCAGCCTGGGAGCAGGCATGACGTGCAGACAGCTATGTGGGCACCATCCCTGCATTGCCCCAGAGCTCCACGAACCCATGGAGCGACTTGCTGCCGGCACCAAAAACAGTTTCAAAGCATCAGTGGGCAAATACAAGGAAGGAAAATGCTTTGGGACTGGTTACACAAATGCACCTCTCCAGGAGCACACTGGGAGGTAGCACAAGCTGCAAGTCCTTGTCCTGCAACCCCAGCTTCACATCACCCCCCTTCCCTCCCAGCTCCTGGGGGGCCGAGTGCTGCCCCCTGCTCCCCACCGATTGCTGTTGGCCCTCCCTCTCCTCTGCACATGTGCAGAGACAGCTGGAAAACAGCGTGATCCCACTAAAGCCACCGTAAAACTAAATCAGGAGAGCCAAATAAAATATTTAACAAGCAAATAAAAGTTCAACCAGAGCCCAGCCCTGCTTTGCAAGAAGACCTCCTCCACAGCCGTGGGTTTCCCAGCCCTTTTTCCCCACAAGGACCTCAGCAAATGTCCCCTGTTTGCATTAGGTCAAGAGGAGGGTCAAGAGCTCCCTGAGGGCAGGTCCTGGCGCCCAGAGCCACTCTCCTCCCAAAGCAAACAGCTGCGTCCGGGGCACACCACAGGGCCAAGATAAGCCAGAACAACTGCCATCACCACCCAAAAAATCGGTCCTGGTGAGAAGTGACGTGGCCGGTGGGAGAGCCAGAGTCATCGCAAGTGGGTGGATGGATGCACCGGCATGTGGAGGATGGGCTCGGGGGACCAGCATCAGCTGGAAGCAGCTCCAAACTGACCTCCTGGTGATGCCACACACCAGTCCAGGGTGCTGGACCAAACCCCAGGCGGGAGCGGACAGCAGGGCGAGGGGCTGCTCCACCGCAGCT